TTTACTGTCCATTTTGCTTAAAAAGATAGCACAGTGAAATGGGTTGCCGTTATGCGGTCAGTGATACCTTATTGTCAACATCTACTGGCAGGAGAACATTCTCCAGTGCCATTGACTGTGCTTCATCTGCTGATACTCCTTATTGATTGCCACCTGCAATGTTCAGTGGTGGCATTAGAGGTTCAAATGAAAAATTGACTGCCTTTTGGACAGCTACTGGCTAATGGCGCTCTGAAAGTTAGCTGAAGAAAGCAGTAGCTTGTTTTGAGTTGTTTGAAACCATTACTAAAGACTGCAAAAGATTGCCGATAGTAGCTGTTTTAGTAGTAGTGGACACTCGATTGCATTCTCTAGAGCCGCATCGGCAGACCGCATCTACCGCCGGCCATTACTTGGCCAACAGCTTCTTCTGCTGCACTTTACTGTCCATTTTTTAGCCGCAATTCCACTCAGCAGAAGCAGTGTTCACCTTGCTGTCCACGCTGTAATTTATATTGTCTTCCCGCCTTATGGCCTGTCATATTTGCGCACCATTTGGCAAACACAGTGGATGCTTTACTTAGTGTTGCAGCGTCGATTGATTTATGTCAATTGGATCGCATCACAGCGATTAGCCTGCTTATCTACCCAACTATTAACCACGCGGTTTTTCTTTGTTCTTTCGTAAATAGAAGTTTGGCACACTTTGAGCTTATGAACAAAAAAGTAACCAATGCAGCACTTTGTCATCTACTTTGATTTCCGGTTTGTGTTTTCTTGTGTTTTTGTTTTTTATTTACATTCGTAAGCTTTGTTTATCTTTAACAGCTGACGAGGCGCGCGAGTGTGGCAGAACGAAAATGCAGCGCCGTTGGACACATGAAAGCGTTACTTTGCTGTCCAACTGAAACTCGCTGTCCTCGTCTCATGCCATCCTTGTGACTACCCTTGAAAATCACCACTTCTCTTTGCACTTACCGTCGCCCACTTTCTCCCGTTTCAATGTTTCTCTTTGCGGGCCACGTTTTGCCCTTTCTGTCGCTCCTGACTACACATGGAACGCCTCTAGCCACTGAGCAGCAGTCACCACTGACCGTCACCGAAGAGCAGCAGCAGCAGCAGCAAGCCCACCTCCGGTCACCTGGCCCCAGACTTGCCTCCCTCGCCACTGTCGACCAGCGATCAGTGCCGCCTGTGACGCCCCTTCCACCCTCCACCCACTGTCCACTTCGGCCACCCCTCAGCACCTCTGCTCACCGCCTTCAGCACCTCCACCACCCACCGAGCACACTGAGCGAGAGACCGCCGGCGACGACCCTCCGAGGTAGCCTCGTAGCCAGCTTGTGTTAGCTATGTCCGCCCAGGCCAGTCGCTCGGACGACACCGACATTGCTGACCGACGACCCGACGACCAGACCCCTCGCACCACCTCCTCCACCGCCGCCGCAGCCCACAATCGCCTCTCCTCCGCCACCAGTCTTCACCCGAACGCAGCAGCAGCAGTGACCAGCAGCAGCCATGATGGTGTCCCAGCCAGCTCAGCCTCCGCCTCCTCCAGGGCAGCCGATGGTGCCGACAGTGGAGCAATGGAGGTGGCGGTGGCACAAGCGCCGGAGACGACACTGCGCCGTCGCTCTGCCACCTCCTCCAGTAGCGCCCAACGACGAGCCTCCCGTCTTAGCTTCAACTACTCCCAGGGCAGGGCAGCACAGCCTCACCACCACCATCACTACCATCACCCGGTGCCACAGCCTCAGAACAGTTTCAGGCCTTTCACTCGCGAGTCCCTTGAAGGCATCAAGAGACGCATTCGCGAGGAAAACGCACGAAAGCTTCAAATGCAACAAGCTCAAGAGGTAGTCAGCACTAGAGGGGTGCTATTGTTGTCATATTAACGCCTCCTTCCACTCCCACACAGAGCGACCCAACTTCTTCTTACTCACAGGCCGCCCACCAGCAGGAGCCCAGTGAACCTGACGCCATGCTCGAAGCTGGTCTTCCTCTGCCACGTGCTCTTCAACGAGAGTTCCCACCCGAGTTGATTGCCACTCCTATTGATGACATAGACAAATATTATCAGAACAAAATGGTAAGTGCAATTGTCACCACCGCCACCTCCCTTTATTCCGATTAAATACCACAAGAGATTGATGTGTGCAAACACCGTCAGTCATAGTACTGGTCATTCAGAGGTAGAGACAGTGTTTGAGCAATACTTGACAGGTGCTTAATGAGATTGACTTTGTGTCAGCAAAANCAAACACCGTCAGTCATAGTACTGGTCATTCAGAGGTAGAGACAGTGTTTGAGCAATACTTGACAGGTGCTTAATGAGATTGACTTTGTGTCAGCAAAAGTGTGTGTGTGTGTGTGCTAGACAAGCAGAAGAAAAGATAATTGTGTTTACCAGTAAGTAAGCACCATGACACCGACGCTGCCTGTAGCTGACGATTACACTGAGACGACCGCAAGTACTTTTCGTTGTGTCGTTTTATAATTGCTCGGCTGCATTTAAATAAACAGGTGCTAAAGAGAGCTGGGATGATGGCCACCACCAGTTTGTGCATCAATTATTGAATTCAATTTAGTCAGACGCTGAAGGTGTAGCTAGAGGGAATGGTAAATAATAGATGGACTTTTGGTGAAAAAGTGCAAGGCTGACTGGACGAGCACTTCATGCTGTTGTGGTCAGCTGTCGTCAATAATTTAGTAGCACAGCCGACGATTGCCAAGTGTGAAATGAAAAGTCTGGCCGATAAAGCCGGTGTCGTTCAGTCTGCCCTCTCTCTTTCTCTTACCACTTGTTTTTCTTTCCACCTTTTCAGACTTTCACTGTGATTAGCAAGAGCAAAGACATTTTTCGCTTCAGCGCCACCAAATCGCTCTGGATACTGGACCCCTTCAACCCGATCCGCCGCGTTGCCATCTACATGCTGGTGCATCCTCTCTTTAGCTTTCTCGTCATTCTCACCATTCTCGTCAACTGCATCCTCATGACCTTTCCACCGGAAGAATCCATTGAACGCACTGAGTAAGAGCGCTGAAACCTGGGGATAGTTTTTAGTAGTGGTAGTAGTAGAAGTAGTGTCAGTTCAGTAGTTGATAAACTTTCCTTCTATCAATTTTACTACCACCATCTACATCTCTTCCATTTAGAATAATCTTCACCACCATATACACCTTTGAATCGTGCCTCAAAGTGGCTGCCCGTGGCTTCATCCTCGAGCCCTTCACCTACCTTCGTGATCCTTGGAACTGGCTGGACTTTGTCGTCATTGCCTTAGCTTACCTGACGATGGGTTTCGCCGATCTGGGCAACCTCAGCGCACTGCGCACCTTTCGCGTGTTGCGGGCACTGAAGACAGTGGCCATCATTCCCGGCATGAAAACCATCGTCGGCGCTGTGATTGAGTCAGTGAAGAATCTCAAGGACGTCATCATCTTGACTTGCTTTGCGCTCTCCGTCTTTGCGCTCCTCGGTCTTCAGGTGTACATGGGCGTCCTCACGCAAAAGTGCATTTCCAATCCACCATGGAACTATACCTATGATGACATGCTAATCTGGGGCCTCAATGAATCACATTGGTACAGAAAGAACGGTCCAGAAGATGTGCCTTATCTTTGCGGCAACAGCTCACAGTAAGTTAAATTAATGGAGAGATAGAGTTGGCTTTTCTGGTCTCTAGAGACACTATTCCTATCTTCTAGAAATTGTCCACCCGGTTACACCTGCCTATCTGGATTCGGTGACAACCCTAACTACGGATACACCAGCTTTGACACCTTTCCCTGGGCACTGCTCTCCTCTTTCCGCCTGATGACGCAGGACTCCTGGGAGTCGCTCTACCAGATGATCCTCAGGGTGACCGGCCCGTGGCACGTCTGCTTCTTTGTGGTGATCATCTTCCTGGGCTCCTTCTACCTCGTCAATCTCATCCTCGCCATCGTAGCCATGAGCTACAATGAACTGCAGAAGAAGGCCGAAGAAGAGGAGGAAGCGGCGGCGGCGGAGGAGGCCGCCTACGTGGAGGCCTGTCGCCAGGTGGAGGAGGACACGTACACGCTGGGCGGCGGCGGCAGTGCGGGCGTGCACAGTCGACGTGGCAGTCGCATGCCGCCACCCTTCAGCATATCGCAACAACACCTCGAGCCGTACCCGCCACAGCACTCCAGCACAAGAGACCTTCAACGCAGAAGTTCGCACAACAGCTCACAGCAACAGCAACAGTCGAGTCAGCAGCAGCAGAGACGATCCTTCCGTCCATCGATAGTGTCAAATGAGTACGGCGCCGCCGAGTCGTCGCCCGCCGAGCTTTCTCTTCTTCCTCCTCCTCTCCCTCCTATTCCTCCTCTTGCTCTAACGTCCTCCACAGCCCCTGAGCCTTATCCTCCCACTCCGTCGATATCGTCCTTTTCTTCTTCTTCCTCATCCTCATCTTCATCCTCCTCCTCCTCCTCTTCTCCTCCCTTCCCTCCCCCTTCTTCTTCTGCTTTATCCTCTAAATATTTTTCCACTAAGTGTGAGGAGGAGAAACGTGATCTGATGGCCAAGCTCAACTCCACTGAGGCCCTACCTACCCCAACTACCACAACCACTGCATGTGCCACCGAACAAGAGGACAGTGCCTCGAGAGGACATCGAACAGCACAGCCTCCCACCACGCTTCAACTTCCCAGGCCTTATCCTAGCAGTACCGATTCACTCAGTGTTGTCCTACGACCTCGTAAGGTAAGTCACCATGTGTGTGATCACTGGAATGAATGAATATATTAATGCTGAGAGGATAAACCCAACTTCGTTTATTACTGCCTGATACCTTTCCCCGTTTGTTGTCTCTAAAACTGATTCTAAATCTGTTTTCTTTCGCATGAGACTCATTACCAAGTCTTGATTGGTTGAAACGTTGGTTATACTTTTTCCTTAAACGCTCGTTTTCTTTATCTTATTTTTGACTGCCTGGTCTACTTTTACTTTCAATTCGTGTTTTGTTTTTGCTAAACCTGCATTTTCATTCCATTATTTTGAATGCATTCTATTTACCTTCAGTAGTAGTTTCAACCTCTATTTGATTACTGTCTGATAGTTTGCTGCTTATTGGTTGGGTTTATCTCTGGCTAGCAACACTGACGACACTGACATTTCCTAACACTCCTTGCGGCAGTTCGCCAAACCAAGTAGACTGTTCCCACCAAGCAGATTACCAGGAAGGCGCAGTCTGGACACTGTGGTCACTTTTCTAGAGGACAGCTCAAAAAGCTACAGTCAGAGTGTCAGTCAAGGCCATGGCTCACATGGACCATTCGAGTTGACCAACTCAGACTGCTCTCTACGTCCTCTTCACAAGCGAAACTGCGGCCCTCCTTCTCGTCTATGGACCCGTTTGCACTCCATCCCAAACCAGCACCAAAAGCGGCCTTCCTCTGGCACTGGCCCGCGGTCCTTCAGCGGCTCACTCAATGCTCTGCACTCAGTCTGGCGTGATCCTCGCTTTGAGTTCTATCTGGTGAGTCAGTTTCTAAAAACTGGTCAAGTTTTGCTACCGCTGACCATTATTCGTACAAATGGTAAAAATACAAAAGTGGGGGTGGCTTTTCTTTGACCACAAGTATAACACTGCTAATTTGATTTGCCTGTATTGACACTTTCAGGTGTCTGTTTGCATTTAGAACGTTTTTCAAAAAATATGCTTTATCCTTTGATCCGACTGATCTTGATTGTTTCGGAAGTGAGGGTCGTTTGGAATAGGTATGCGTACAGCAGCAGCACCACTGAAACAGAGAAAGCATTTGTCCTCCTCTAGTGAGTACAGTGTGAAAGCACACAAATGGGGCAATGAAAGTTGCTGTCGTTTGTTACTTGGTCATTATGCTAATGTGTCCCAGCGGCTCAAATGCCACAGACAATGTCTATGTACATGTATGTATATGTTCTCTGTCTGTTTGGATTGTCTTAGGTTGCCATGGAGACGGAGTGCTTCCACCTCCTCACCCGCCACTGCCAGTGCCTCCATTGCATTTTGCACTTATCGAGACATTAGATTTGTACTAATTGTCCTGCAGTCTGGAGAAAGGGCTGAAAACGGTAAAATACATTTGAAAGT